CTGCTGTCTGTCTTGCTGCTGCAAACCCTAAACCCTAAACCCTAAACCCTAAACCCTAAACCCTCGTTTTTTTTTCTAAACCCTAAACCCTAAACGCTAGTATTGTTTAGGGTTATTCCCTTTCTAGTGTGTTTTCTTCACCGCCCTGCATTGTCTCTCTCCTTTGTCTACACCATCAAACCCTAAACCCTAAACCCTAAACCCTAAACCCTAAACCCTTGTAAACCCTTGAAGATGCGTGTATTATTTTTTTTTATAAGTTTTTTTTCTCTCTATCTAGGGAGAGAAAAAGATGCTGCTGTTGCTGCTCGCCTGCTGCAGCCGTCCCCTGCCTTTCTGTCTCAGCCTCTAACCCCAGTAAACTCACAAACCCTAAACCCTAAACCCTAAACCCTAAACCCTAAACCCTTGCATATTAAAAACAAACATAATTTCTCACACATATATATATATATATATATATATATATATATATATATATTTATATTTATTTAAACATATTTATAAATATATATAAATATATTTTGTGTGTGTGTGTGTGGGGTGTACATACAGCCGGGCCTGGGTGTACGCTCTGCTTGGGGATCGGATCCCGTCCCCTCCTCCCCCTTCTCTTCCGCGTCCCCCGCCCAGCAGCAGCAGCAGCAGCAGCAGCAGCAGCAGCAGCAGCAGCAGCAGGAGAGGTTTGCTTATCCTCTTACTTTCGGGGGAGAGACAGAAGGAGACAAAAGGGTTGCGCTCGTCACCGGGGCTAGCAGAGGTATAGGCCTCGCCGTGGCCAAGGCCCTAGCCAGGGGCGGTGTAGATACTGTTCTCTGTGTTGCTAGAGATCAGGTAGGGTTTAGGGTTTAGGGTTTAGGGGGTAGGGGGTAGGGTTTGGGGGGTGGGGGTAGGGTTTGGGGGGTAGGGGNGGTTTGGGGGGTAGGGGTGGGGGTGGGGGGTTAGGGTTTAGGGTTTGGGGGTTGGGGGTTGGGGTTTAGGGTTTGGGGTTTAGGGTTTGGGGTTTAGGGTTTGGGGTTTAGGGTTTAGGGTTTGGGGAGGAGGAGGTGGATGAGGGTAGAGCTGAGGGGGAAGAGGGTTTGGTGTGTATGCTCTTTTGAGTTTCTTAGGGTTTAGGGTTTAGGGTTTAGGGTTTATGTGTTTGAGGGTTTAGTGTTATGAAGGCATACATCTGGGGTTTCCTTTTTTGTATGGTGTAGGGTTTAGTTTGTGTGTGTGTTCTCTTCCTTTAGTCTTTAGGGTTTATATGGGTTTATTAGGGTTTATTAGGGTTTACTAGGGCTTACTAGGGTTTAGGGTTTATGGTTTGTGTATATTCTGCATGCGACGCTGCAGCAGCTGAGTTGAGTTTTTAGGGTTTAGGGTTTAGGGTTTCGGGTCTGTGTGTATTCTGCATGCGACGCCGCCGCAGCTGAGCTGCTTTCTGCGTGTTTAGGGTTTAGGGTTTAGGGTTTAGGGTTTGTGTGCAGGGTGCCTGCGACGCGGCAGCATCCTGAGGGTTTAGGGTTTAGGGTTTAGGGTTTAGGGTTTGTGTGTATTCTGCATGCGACTCCGCCGCAGCTGAGCTGCTTCCCTAGGCTTTATGGCTTAGTGTTTAGGGTTTAGGGTTTATGTGCAGGGTGCCTGCGACTCCGCCGCAGCCAAGCTGCATCCTTAGGGTTTAGGGTTTAGGGTTTAGGGTTTGTGTGCAGAGTGCGTGCGACGCCGCGGCCGCGGAGCTGCGTGGTTTGGGTTGTCGTAGCGAGGGTTTTGGTGTGGATGTGAGCGACGAGGGTTTAGTATCTTCTTTGTGTTTTTCTTTGTTAGATAAATATAAAAAAATAGATATATTAGTAAACAACGCCGGCATAACAAAAGATAAAATATTTATAAAGATGAAACCACAAGAATGGATAGATGTTATAAACACAAACCTCCATTCTGCTTTTTATTTTTCTCTCCCTATAATTAAACAAATGGCT